GTGGAAGTACTGTCATCAAGAAAGTCGTGGGCTTGGGAGTTAACCCGGTCCTCTGCAGGTAAACGTAGAATATGTCAAATTTGATCCTTCATAGCCTAGTTAATAATCCGGTGCATTCATCGACCGTCGTCACCCAAAGTTCACTTGCACAGATATTTGATTCGCAAAAATAGTCGCAAGGTCATCCTCACACACGCGTGACGTGCGTGCTACTTGTTCATTTGGATTATTTCCCTCTATCCTCTCTCCATTTTCTCGCAGCGTTGTCACTGTACGCTCATTCGAACCGGATTTACCAGCTCTACACAGTGATCCATCATACGTGGAAATATCTTCTGCGCTTAGAGGATGCGCCATCACTAATCGATTTCACTGGCATCTGTGATTAAGCGCAAGCGTTTAATTCAATCGTATTGAGCCGATTGCCATTCTGTGTGACACTAATCGATACAGAATTCTCGAGGCAGGCCGAAAAGCGTAAGCTTAATCCGATCCAGTGTTTCTCAACACAGCTGTGAAAGAATCTGTGTTCAGCGCTCTGTTCAGGTTGCAGTCGCTCGCCATTCCTTGTGACCTTGTCAGCCAGTGCGGCTGCATTACCAATCAGACGGACCGCGCGACCACGCCGACCGCTCATTTGACCTTGCAACCACCACGCTCGCCTGACCGATGTGCGCCGCTCTCAAAGCTCTAAAAGTACAGAACGCTAACCAACCCACTGGGTCAGGTAACGACACCAAATTGAATGGCAGAAAGGCGAAACCGAAGAGACTCCCATCGAAAGGCATTTGCGGGTTAGGAGAATGTCATCGGGTAGTAAAAATCGGTCTGGCTTGTTCGCACTGCTTAGCATGGTACCATACGAAATGTGCAAATGTGTCCCAACAACAGTTACGGGAGCGAAATAGCTCCCAAGATGCATTTTGGTTTGTACTGCGTGTTCCACCATCCCCTCGTTAAGTGCTTGCTTCTCCTAGCTGAGAAATGCGACCGGTTAATCGCAGAAGCAGAGCAGAGGATAAACAATGAGATTACTTCAATGGGAGCGAGTATGGACCACAGAAGCGTAGCGGCTGCTAAGCAACGGAATGCTGAACAAACGCTTCACCTGCACCGCAATCAGCCATGTCTCCATCTCCGTTGTCTTCTCCACCTTTGGTAGAACGCCGGGCGAAAACAGAATGTACCTACATGAATCAAGCAGTACTCACAGCAAAGAAAATCAGGCACCATTCAAAACGTCTGGTTAAGCAAATTCCACTAGACCTGACATCTAGTATTAACAAGGATGGAGCAGCCAAACACCAACCCTTGGTACCTGTAGCTCAAATATCTCTTGTCGAGACTAAGCCTCCCAGAACATCGGTTACATATACAGAGATTGCTGCAAGGGTCCACCGAGAGGCCGCCGTTGCGTCCTCTTCCATTGTAAACACCGTTAACGCAAATGGAGAGAAAAACAGCAAACAATCACTTGTCAACAAGTCAAGACAAATGAGTACCATACCTTGTAGATCGATTAAAAAGTGATCCAACAACAGTGCCCGGACTGTTGTATGCTCAAATGTCCCTGAATCTACCGCCATCACATTGCGGGATAAGTTATCAGACGACCAAGACCAATGGAACTCATTGTGTATGCAGATGAGTATCAAAGCCAAGCCCGTAAACTTGTTACGAATTACTCGTCATCCGAACTCGCCACACTATGGTGAACCCAGACTTATTCGAGTAACTCTAGAATCCTCCACCGACGTAGAAAATGTTTTGCTCTCCGCAAGCGCGCTAAAACACGAATCCTGTGCGATACGTATCTATCCTGATGTCCCTTGGAGCGCGCGACAATCAAAAAGAAACACCGAAGAGGGGCACAGCAAGCAAGACCACCTAAACACAGTCTTCATACATGGCGTGCCAGAACATCCTTCTAACCATGTTCAAGATACCGGAAAGCACGATTTAGAACAGTGGCGGTTCATTCGTGAAACACTTTCTATGGATGATGTTGTGGCACTATCGCTCACCAGGATACCTCTCTCATCGAATTATAGAGGATGCGGCCCTAGAATCCTAAAACTTGTGGTTCAGTCAGAGCAACAAGCAAAGGATGTTTTGGATCGATGGCGAAGAAATCGGAAACATCTTCCTTCCGAAATTCGGTTAAAGGTCGCAAACAATTTGCACAGCTCAAGTATTACAGCAACTGAAGCAGCAAGCATACCGATGAATGTACAGAAGTGTAACTTGACTGCTGCTTTAATTGACTCTGAAGTAGGTCTAAACGAAGGCTGGGACGCACCTTGGCCGAATCAAGTTGCAAACGAGGTATCATTGACCCTCAAAAAAAACGAATAACTGCCGACCTCCATCGGTCGGCATTCTCCCACACTTGACAGCTTCACCTCTCTGCCGGCTCCTAGAGACCGAGAAACTGGCCTGCTTGTATACAAATGCTCAGGGACTTTCTAACAAACTGGCTGAACTGAAAGATCGGAAAGCTTCCGGCTCGTATGATGTCATTGGTATCACAGAGACATGGTTGCACACTGGAATGACGGACGCTGAAGTGTCGCTACCCGGCATGTCGCTGATCCGGAACGATAGGCTCACAAAAGGAGGAGGGGTAATCCTGTACTACCGAAACGACTTACAGTGCGAAGCCGTGGAGGATTCAGATTCACAGTTCCCCGACTCTCTTTGGTGCCGGTTGCAGTTAAAAGGCAGGGACGCTTGCCTTATTATCTTGGTGTACCGCACCCCTAACTCAACACCCGAAACCGACTACCACCTAATGGCTGCTTTAAGGTGCAGTTTGCAACAAAAGTACACTCACATTCTTAGCATGGGTGATTTCAACCTACATTGTTAAGAAGCCCCTGCCACGACCGGAGAACAATTCAAAACCGATTTACAAGATCTAGTAACTACTGTTCCTCTTTACAACCACATCACTTTGCCCACTAGGTGCAGAACTGGTAACAGGCCATCTGTGCTGGATCTTGTGCTTACCAACGAGGAACATATGATTGATGCGTTGGTTTTAGACTGCCCGTTGGGTCGCAGTGATCACGCAGTCATCAGTTTCAACTTCGTCTGCTATGCAGAATATCGGAATGATAACGATGATACTGTGCGAACCATCACAAGGTACGACCGACTCGCCCAGCTAGTCAGCGCCACAACATGGTCTTTCCTCGAAGAAGAACCCCCGGAAGTCGCCTGGCTCGAGTTCGTCAACACATTCAGTCAGCTGATTGCGCAGGCTTTAGAGATAAAAGCTTGCAATAAGTGCAAATCCGTTTCTTTCGTTAGGAGCAGAACCCGAAAATGGATGACAGTACGCAACGCAGCATGGTGAGTGTACAGAGAAGCTCCAGCACCGGAAACTTGGGACAACTACGTAGCCCAACGTAACCACTGCACTCAACTGCTAAGAGAAGACAAAGCCGCCTATCAGCAGAACATCGCAAAAACCTTCAGTGCTAACCACAACTGCTGTACAAGCATGTCAATATCCTACGAAAGGTGAGGCAAGGATTTCTCCACTCAGGACAGCTGAGGGCCCAACAAGAACGTCTATGATTCTGAACCTTGCATGACTTGAGGGTTATATGCAAAATACAGCAGTCTCAACCGGATGAAACGGCATTACAACATATGACAGAACATTCGGTAACCGCTTTTTGAATCTAATTAACGAATAACCCATTGATGGAACTATTCTGTGCTGTCTTCTTAAACTCAATTAGTACCGACTTATACCTAGCGATGTACGATTAATGAATACCCCAATTTGCTTTGGGGAACTTTGTCTATGAATTAAGTGCCGAGGACCGATGTGGGCTTCAGTAAAGAAAGCTTACTTTGAAGGTGGTAAATGCTTATCAATGGAAGCCCTGATGACAATTGCGCTTCCAGAATTCTGTCAATAAAATACCTACAAAATATCCCTGTAAACACTACAGTTTAAAAGAAACAGCACACTCCTAGATGAGCGAACGGTGCAGAAAATTGATAACATAGGTATTTTACCTAGCATTGCTGAATTGCCGGCATTATTGGAACCAAATGCTAGTTACAACTATTACTCATAGCTTTGAAGTGAGGTTCGTTTTAGTATGAATTCAAAGGAGGTAATCTTGTGTGTTTTTGTCGTATCGCATGTGTGATCATTCTTTCTGATTCTTATAACCAGCTTTTGGATCTACGATCGATTTCAGCAAAATAGTATTCACAATGAGGGGGTTTGCTGAGTGGGAAATGTGTGAAAACATGCAGATTTAACGTGTAGCTAAAATTGAAAACCCTAACTTATTGCTGACGGCTTTATGCTATTGTGTTGCCGGAGTAATTGTGAGTGCCAAGTGCACCTTTCAAGTGATTAGATTTCTCAAAACAAGTGTGAAATCCTTGCAACGGTTCTGAGCCTAGCACGCAGACTTAGTTACTTCAACGAAAGTATAAGCAAAGCTTGTCAAACGAAGCTTTAGTTTTACGGAAAAGACGCACATTGTATAAAGTGTAACCGGCGAGGGATAAATTAAGATTCGCAGTTATGTGAAAGAAATAGAAGCCAGAGATCGTTTCAGGTCTTTCTGTCGAGAATCACTTAAGTTACTTGCAGTTGGGTGGTTTAGGCATTCGGATGGACCTGGAGATGCTCCACGGAGACTCGTGATTTCGCTCATGGAATTTTTGCCCACTTGATCCTCAAAGGAAGCTGGATATCGCGGGCTGCATGTATTTCTCTAGGTTGCCATTCGCTAAAGAAACAGCAAGTCAAGTGGCGTAAGCAAGCATGCTTACAGTTTTCAAATTTGCTCCAAGTTCACGCATGATTGACATCGACAACCCGGAAAGTAAGCCTTGTCTGGAAGTGACGATTTACAGATCAGTCCTTCATTTTTGAATGGACAACGATTTTAACTTTTTTACAAACCTACCATAAAAGCGATTTATTGCAATGAACAAAATGCGTGCAAGCAAACAAGTCAACTCACTAATATTGACAAAAAGCGTTCGTGATGTTTGCTAATTCCTGCATTGGAAACACAGTGATGCGAAATGCGAAAGTTGAGCCGATCTTCAGCGGGATGAGTGCGGCATCCACGTCGAGTTGAGGGGCCGCTTTTCTAATACTCAACTCATGTGTGTATTCATTTGCAGCTAGGATAGACAGCCAGTTTGTTAATGATGGTTGAATCACCATACAACATGAACAGTGTGATGGAATGAAAAACTATTTATGGTTACCGCTCTTTAAAGATAGACAAGTTCACAAATTACTTACTGTCTAATTTAACGAAGTAAAGTGAGCGCTAAAGAATGCTGTAGTTCTCATTTTTAATATAAAACTATCTTTATTGGCTCAAAAAGTACAAGTTCTATTGCGTAAATACTTATTTGCAGACATGACACATGAAAAATTTTATTAAGAAAATCACCGTTCCTTGACGAAATGCATCAGCAATTACTAAGACGACGTACAATTCTACTTCGTACATGTAGAATGTTTTCAGTCCTAAATACCGTAAGCAGTACTGTAAGCGTTACTTAGCAAAGGTTGCTGGGAACCCTTGCATTTAGGAAGTCGCTACAAAGCCACCTGGTGTAAGACGATGAAGGTCCTTAAGCTATGTGTTTTCTGGAATTCATGTACAGGGCGCATTGTGCAGGCTACATACCACTTCCCGTGCTGTCGATCAAGGTTGTATGGACAGACCACCTTTGTTGGCATTGAAACAGCATTATTAAGCTTATAACGCACAGTTACTAACTTGTCTTTCTGTTTTACTCGGGTGCTCCCAGTCGAATAGAGAAAATACGACTACTTTATACCATTTCCCGGCCAAGTTGTCCTCTTGGGCAGCAAAAGTAATCTGAGGGGGCATTCAACATGAGTCTACTCAATTAATTTGTTCCGTGCGTACGCCAGTCACTTGTGCAGTGTGTAGATGTGCGTGTATAGCCCGTCGCCCTCAGCCAATTGGACCTCAGACGCACCAAGTCATAGGGGTGCAGGTGGGACGCTTCAGCTCCTACTCACGGAACAAATTAATTGAGTAGACTCATGTTGAATGCCCCCTTAGATTATCTGTTGCTCAAGATGACAACTTGGCCGGGAAATGGTGTAGTGCGATGCACTCTCTGCACCTTATTTTGATTGGTTATCACGAGGTACTCTCTGTCGAGGGACGCACCTGCTGCTGCATGTATGCAACCGACAATGTGATTGGTCTTATGTACACACCATAGCTTTGTCATTATATGTGTCCTGTTCGTGCTACAATAACTAGCCGGAATGAACCACACAGGCAACGGTGCAATCATGCTCTGTCACCGGTTTCTTCGGGTAGGACTTGACAGACTTAGAAATCACATAGTTTTTACCTCGTCGGGGTTTTGAATTAACTCAAATTAGACGGGGCAATCATGGCTGGTTCACTCGTTGTTAAAGCACCTTTGGTACTGTATGATAAAGGTTATTTTTTCTTAATTCTTACTTTGTTCACTTGGTTAAAACCAGATGTCTTGGAAGAGAGTGGAGGTCCAAGTAAGAAGAATAGTCAGTCATAGCTTAGGGTGCGGATGAGGGCATTCGGCTGTCAAACTAGCTGGTCGTCGGACAATATGGCACCGCCAGTGCCATCTTCCGGATTCAAGTTATATTTGACCGCTTGATGCCTCGAAAGTCTGGAGTACCTACTTCGTTGGACAAACTGAAGAATACTGTGGATTCATGAGCTTACTGGTAACATGTTTCAACTTATCTAAAACATCTGTCGCATTTTGAATAGGTCACAGTTACTGTAATAATTGCCGTGGTGCAGCAAACGATTGCGTACCATTAGAAACGCGAAACCGTAGTATATTTTAAGGATCTGGTAGCAATATCGCATTCAACGGCCACTGAATAGAAAATTCATCGCAATTCATTCTTTCAATATGTATTAGTCGTCATTCGCACATAGTAATGAAGCATGCAATTTCAACTCGTAGTGCACTATAAGATAAGAATTCACAAGTCAAAAATTTGCGATCTTTCATCCCCCACTTTAAAGTCAGTATGTGTATTTTTTTAGTTTCGCGTAATTAATGTTTTGTTTCTCCTCAACCACCCCAATTGCAAAACACAAATATTACGTTGGAGTATTCGTCCCACAGCGGTTAACTGAAGCGCTGCTGTAGTGATTCATAGGCTAGCACTTCACCGTTGACTTGCTGTCCGCTGTTACCTGTCACAATGTTGAAACAAATTCATCTTTGTCTTGAAGTACAGACGGTCGTAAAATTCGGTACTTCGAGGAAAAACGGGTTATTCGGCAAAGCAAGCTCAGCAAAAAGGACAGGGTGACAGGCATGTACGAACCTCGATATAAATAACTAAGTCATTTCCAAAACTAGCGATCCTGCTGCACTCTTGAGATACTTTCTTTGAATCAGTTAAACAAACCCGCTCCAGCGAACCAATCAGTGCGTAGACGAAATATGCGCAGGCGTCCAATAAACTGTTCCGTTCTGTTGCCACACTCTAGTCACCTGCTTGCAGCATCCTATCGCATCCTTCCCTTTTTCGGGTCCAGCTGCATCGGTGTCGCAGAGAACACCTTAAGCTCTTCCGCTCCGTGTCATGTTTGCTGCATCTGCCGTTGTGACCTCTCCGGAAGGCGTCACGCGGTTTGCTGCCTCAGCTGCACCCAGTTCGTGATGATTACTTTCCCTCCGGTACTGACTTCATAAAATCTCACTCCAAACTTCGCGATCACACACCAGTCTTCCAGCGTTCGCAGACAACCGGTACTGGGTAAATCCACACTTCAACATTTACTGATAGCGCCGTTAGCCCCCAGGTCCCGACGTCATAACGCTGTTTCTGATCTGCCATCCGTTTTTTAAGCCTCTTTGCAGTTGCTCATGCGATGGCGAGACAGGGTGTAAGAGCTGAGCAGAGGCAGGCACTAGGGTTCTTGTCCTTCTGATGTACAAACGTTACACTGAAATAAGACCGATGTTCGGTACTAGCGTATTGCGTACCTCCAACAACATTAGATCCTAGTCCTCATGAGTGGCTCGGGCTTTTGACAACAGCCAATTGGCTTGTTTGACCGTTGTCTCTGCTTTACAAATAGACCGACTGTGATACGGGCTTTTTGTCGATGCGAAAATACGCACTTATTCGCGAAGGTCTGAAACGCGGCACTTGTAAATTGCGGCCCATTGTCGGAGATCAATTCCTCCGGTATTCTGTGTCTGGCACACTGACATCGAAGCTTGCTGCTGATTGCTTCCTTTGTGGTATTGGTGAGTAGATCGATCGCAAAATAGTCATTGTAATAGTTCACAGTGATTAAGTAGTATTTGCCGTTGTTACGGAACAACTCCACCGCTACTTTCTGCCATGGTCGCGCTGAAATGTCAAGCAAACTTATTGGTTGCCTGGCTTGACGAGCTTCGTGAGATAGGCGTGGTGAACAGCTTAAAACATGGTGTCGAATTTGACTTGTCTACCCGGGCCAGAACATCAGTTTGCATGCTCTAATATTCCTACGGCTGAGACCCAAATGATCTCAATGAGCCTGTTCTAGCATTCCTTTGCAAAGCGGCGGTGGGATAAAAACGTGATTTCCTTTAAACAGCAAACCGTCATACACCGTTAGTTCACCTCGAAAGTTGAAGAAGGCCGTTACTTTTCCTTCGGGAGTTTATCCTTTTACCTGGGTATCCCCTTAAAATCTATTGCTGAACTCCACGCATGTCGCGTCTGCCTCCGTATGATACTTTAGCTCTCTTAGGCGATCTGTCGTTACCGCCAGATGTTGTACGAGATTGACTGCCTTGAGTTCTTCCGTTGATGTTCGACTATCGGATGCTGAGCTCTCGACAGAGCGTCCGAGATGACAATTTGCGTCCCCGGAAAGTACACCAGATCCATATCGTACTTTTGGAGCCTAATAAGCATCCGTTGAAGACGTCGCGGGACATTGTGTAACGGTTCACTAGCTATATACATGAGCGGTTTATCGTCCGTATGCACTGTTGTCTCCCTTCCAACTGTATAGTCGTTGAATCACTCCATTGCTTTGACGACGGCCAGCATCCACTTTTCAATTTACGCATATCCCTGTTCCACCACTGTGGTCGCCCGACTGTGGAAATCCAAGGTTTTACTATCCTGCAGGAGGACGGCGCTTATTCCGCTTTGGCTGCTGTCACACTGCACCTTCAAAGGTGGAGGGGGGTCACAGTAAGCAAGTACTGGTGTACATCTAATAAGACCCTTGAGAGGTGTAAAGTCTACCTCCTATCTACTCCTCAACTCCACTTTACACCTTTATGAGTCAGTCTCCGCATGAACGTCATGATTTCAACAAGCCTTGCAAGAATCGGCTCAAATAATTCACCATGCCATTTAACCAACTAACAGCCTTGATGTCCTTAGGTTGTGGCATCTCAGACTGTCTCGATTTATCTGGGATCGATGTTTATTCCCTCGGATGTTAGAATGTGCCCGTGAAAAATCACTTTCGGTTTCCGGAGCTTTAAGCTTTTAAGCTTTATGTTCTTATGCACGCATCGCTACAAAAGGTGTTACAGATTGGCGGCAGGTTCCTGTTCGGTTGAGCCGTAAATCATTGCAGCCTCTGCTACGCTTATTACACCATCTAGGTCCTTAACAAGATGCAGCAACCGCTATTTCGCTTACAACCTTCAAACCAAGGCTTAAAGGTAACCAGCAGAAACGCCCTAAGGGTGTTGCCAATCTTGTCAGGAAACGGGATTCCTCATCTAGAACCACGTGCCAGAATGGCGATGAGAGATCGATGTTTGTGAATTACTTCGCCTTAGCCAAACGCGGCAGGACATCTTCTAACGTTGCCAGTGTGTAGTGTTCTCTAGGCAAAGTTTCATTCAACGGCTGAGGATCTATGCACAGACCCAAATCACTGTTCCTTTTCATATAAGTCGCTACTTGGCTGGCAGCGCAATCGATTGTATTAATGGATCCATTGACAGATGAACGGAACATTCACACACCCCTCTAAACATGGGTCAAACACGGATGGATACTGTCCACTAACATCTGTCTCCGCTTCACATAGATGCATAAAATAGTCATTATTAAACTGAATAAAGCCAAGAGATTGAATAGAATCAACCCCGAGAAT